CAAGAGCCAGGTGTTCCAGCTGGAGTCCACCTTCGATGTGAAGCGCTACCTGAGCAGCTCGGAGCGGGCCGGGCTGGCCGCCGCGCTGCACCTCACCGAGACCCAGGTGAAGATCTGGTTCCAGAACCGCCGCAACAAGCTCAAGAGACAAATGTCATCCGAGCCCGAGGGCCAGGGGCCCGGGCCGGCCGAGCCCCCCGGGGAGCCTCAGCCCCCCACTGCCGCCTCGGCTCTCTCCTTGCCGTCCCTCTACAAGGACAGCCCTCTGCTCAGTCGCTGCTTGCTGCCGCTGCCTATTCCCCTGCTCTGCCCGGGCAGCGCCATCCCCTACCTGTGCCTCCCCGGGCCGGGCAAACACTTCAGCCTGCTGGACGGGGATGTATAGCCTCTCCCCTGGCCCCCGACCTTCCCTTGCTGGGGGCCGCCCCGACTTTATTTATGACTCCGCCGTGCCAGTGGAGTGTCTGTCTGAGACTCCGGCCCACGGAGGGGCAGCCCTGGCTCCCACACGCGTGTCCTTGGGCTGCCGACACGTTACTGCATCTCGGCAAGGCGCTGCCAACCCGCTCCCCCTCTCGCAGCGCTTTTTCTCTGGTCGGGACGGAGGAGATAACACGGAGCCACCTAAGAAACCGGGATGAGCTCTGCCTGCCTCCTTTCCGAATTGTCCCGCTCCGGTGTGACAGGGGGGCCGATGCTGTGCCTCAGCCCGTGGGGACAGTGTCCCCGCTTCTGTCCCAAGCGCCGTGAACAGAGTCACGTTTCATTCAGATTGGTAATGGTGAGGGCCGCTCTGTGCTTCTCTATCTCAAGCTCTCCTCTAATGTCCCTCAGAGTAGCTTCTCCCCATCTTTTACATTATCAAAATGTAGACGCCTTTCCTCAGATCTGATTCTTAAACTGTGACTTTCCTGCTTTTTTCCCCTTCGGAAGAAACTCCCCAAGATCTCTCTTACACGTTTTGTGCTAACTGGTTCTCAGACAGAGCCTCGTGTGATGTTTTTACAGAACAAGACAAGCTGTCTCTTCTGCTAATCCCGCCCCCCGAAAACTCGTGGGATGGTTTTACCTGCTATCCTAGGGTAAAGAAGTGGGGTTTTAAAATTTTTTATATCTATCTACACATAAATTTGCAAACGCTTTGGTCATCCTTTGGTTTCTAAGTTTACACGCTTTATATCCCAAAGTTGGAAATAAACCTTTTCAGAAAGTTGGAACTCTCCCTCCTTTTCAATAGTCACTGCTAGGTAGATAGTAAAGGAAAGATATTTCCTGGAGTGCATCGATGGTTTTTATTTTACAAATAAAGAGCACAATTAAAAAACTAAAACACAATCGTGGCATTACGGAATTCATCCTTAGCACGCGCCAACGGCAACTCATCGATTTTCCCAGCGGGGAGACAAACACGGTGTTTGTTTCGGCTAGATAAGGTGGGGTTTTCTTTCTCCTTCGCACTCTTCCGTTTGTCTTCCCGTGGGCAATCGATGCAGATGCGCGGGGATCCCGGTGCAGGCGAATCCCCGCGGCTTGGGCCGGCTGCCGGGGCTCCATCCCAGCCGGGGCTCCATCCCAGCCGGGGCTTTATCCCAGCCAGGGCTCCATCCCAGCCGGGGCTCCATCCCTTCCGGGGCTCCATCCCAGCCGGGGCTCCATCCCTTCCGGGGCTCCATCCCAGCCGGGGCTCTATCCCAGCCGGGGCTCCATCCCAGCCGGGGCTCCATCCCAGCCGGGGATCCATCCCAGCCGGGGCTCCATCCCTTCCGGGGCTCTATCCCAGCCGGGGCTTTATCCCAGCCGGGGCTCTATCCCAGC